ATAATTTTCTTTAAAGTAAATCTGACCAATCCTCTGCTTCTAATTGAAACCAATAATATTCACACAAAATGATAAATGATCATCTCAAACAAGGCACTAGCAACTTTTTCTAGGAAATTATCCACACTTACAGAGAGGGGAGAAAATGATGCTCTAATTTTAGCCACATGATAAAATAGTTCTGATTTTTCAGATTCCAGATTTTGCTCCCAGCTTGTATTTATCTAACATTTGAATCATTTTATTACTGCCATTCACTTAACATTTGGACCATTTGGCATTAAATTTCCAAGAAGCTGAGAAAGAACAGGATCACAATTGAACTACTGGACCCAGATTTTAGAGCAAATAGGAAAGAGTGGAATACATTTTCTTATTTGACTGATGGTTTAAAAAACACGAAAGATTTTCTACCTCCTTTTTCCTCCTTCCAGGTATGAAAGTGCCCTTGACCAGTTACTGCCATTGTTCCAATACATTAAAACATGTTTGCTTGAGCAAGAATTGATATTGACTCTGATTGCCCGGTAATAAGCTTGACTGCCTTTCTATGGAAGATATGATCTAATATGAACTATCAAAAAGACTGTGTTCTGAGACAGCTTTCACTAGGAAGTGTATATTTCGTGCCAGGCTCTGAATTTGGTTTTGATAATGCCCTATGTCACTTGCAATGTGAACTGTGTTTTCAAAAGAGGAGTGGTTTCTCTCTCTCATGCTTCTGTAACATGTACCAAATTTCTGATAATGCAACAGATGACCACTGAATGTATTTCTGATCTATCTGATAAAACAATGTATACAATGCATCTTTAATTTAAGTCCATAAGAAAGGAGTATGAAAGAGTCGCTTTATAAATCATCACCAAAAGTTCAACATGACATCGTGTTTACCTTTTCTATTGCCAAAAGAGGAAAGCAGCAAGGATTAAAGCAATGTATTTTCCTTTGCTTTATTAGGTTACCAAAGCAGGTAACTTGATTGCCTTGGCTCATTATTCGCAGACTTAAAATCTTAAAGTCAGTTATAATTAATGATCTCGATAGGGGATAATGCAGAAATAAATTTCACAATGATCCCTTGTCTCCAAATACATTATCTTACCCTGTGCATGGGATTCCTTTTGTGCATTTCCTAGGTCAAAGTGAGGATTTCTCTATATTCTCAAATTTCACCCACTGTCCAAAGAAGTAAGGGGCTCGAATGCTGTCTAGTGTCTGATAAGATAAGCATAGGTAATTGTAGATAGCCACAGGTAATCAAATACTGGCAATGTTGTGTCAACATGCTTCCCCAAGTGCACCAGGAAGTGATGAAGAAGTTAGGATGAACAAATTCACTAGGGATGGCCAACACCATCTGTAAACTCCAGTTTGTACAAGTGGTGAAGACTTTGCATGTGTGTTAAGGTTATTAATGCCTTCATAGAAATTGACTATTGGAGCTGTGGGGCTTAGGCACAGCACTGCCACGTGGAAAATGGTGATGCAGTTTATTTTACCAACTATTGGTACCTGTTGCCTCTAGTTCTGTGTCCCAGAGCCATCTCTTGAGAGTGAAATGCTGAGGTCAATGGAGTTACCCCCAGCGCCACACACAAGAAAACCCCATTGAAGTGTAAAGGACACCCAGGAGCCTAAAGAAAGCTGATGGCCCAGGGACAAAGTTGATGAAGAAGTATCTTGACAGCACTGGGGAAATATTTGCGATTTACTCTAAAAGTAAAAGGAACACTGTAAAGAAATAAATATTCATTTGTTTCTTTACAAATTCAAAATGCTAACAAGGCTGTGTTTAGACAAAATGATTATCTGAGTATAGACTAGATATATGTTTAAGGTAAAATTCCTTTGATATTCAATTATATGCTCATGTATCCCATTAGATGGTCACTTGTGTACATGGAGACTCCCTGCTGAGACTTTGTTCATTTTTTTTTTTTTTTTTTTTTTTTTGATACAGGGTCTCTCTGTCACCCAGGCTGGAGTGCTTTGTTTGTGATCTCAGCTCACTGCAGCCTCAACCTCCAGGGCTTAAGTGATCCTCCCATCTTAGCCTCACAAAAAACTGGAACCACAGGCATGCACCACCATGGCTGGCTAATTTTTGTATATTTTGTAGAGATGGGGTTTTGTCATGTTGCCTAGACTGGTCTCAAATTGCTGAACTCAGGCAATCTGCCCATTTTGGCTTCTGGGATTGTAGGCAGGAGCCACTGCTCCTAGCCTTTGTCTGTGATTTTGACAGCATGATGCACCAATTACACCAGAGACTCCAGTGTGAATATTCAGTAAAATAGGCTTTGACTCCCACAATTTCCATCCTTCTGCAGATAAATAAGTAAGGACACTCTTGGCTAAAACTCTTGCACTCCAGGCAGTTGATCCTGGCAAAGTCCAAGGATCAGACCCATGGACCTGTGAGGTGGGCCTCACCGTTTCCAGGACCTGTCCACAGCACTCGCTGTGGTGACCAGGTCCTGCCTTTCCCGTCACCTACTTATACGACTGTTTCCTCCATTTGCTTCTTTGCTCTTTGGCTTCACCTGTGAGCTGATGGGGCTGAGATCCCTGGTTCATCCCAGACCACATGAACCTGAATGAACTCTCCTCCCTGGCAGGGATGGCCTCACATCCATTCACTGTTTATAATCTCCTTTCAATTCCTTTAGAACCTTGGCCCCACACACATTTATTAAATGTTCTTTTTTTCTCTGAATATAAATGCTAATTCTAGTGAGAATCTATTTGAACAGGCTTAGGAGAACATCCGTACAAACATGAAGAAATCGAGATGCCTCACGTAAGTTACAATGGGCAGCAAGCATAGAAACAAAATATTCTCAGAGTGAAATGAGGAGTTCTGGAGGGAACGTCATGAGCCTGGAGACTGCAGCTCTTCTCTGCGGTGGAGCCTGACCCAGTGCCCCCTGAGTTCCTTTGAATTCACTGAGTCCACATCACTCAGAGCTGACAAAACCCCCAGTTTCACCAAACCCACATGACCCTGGAGCTATGGGGAAGGCTACATGCTGTGCAGTGTGCAGGAATTGTGTCCTTCTCCTTCCTGTAAAATGTTGGTGCGCTGTAAAATCAATATCAGATGGTGATGACTCTAGCCTCAAGAAAGGACCCTGAATAGTACTGGAAATCACTTTCAAAGAATTTAAACATAAGACTAAAGCCAGCTTCCTCATGAAAACCAGCCAATCTTCAACTGTATTCAGAAATAACTTTAAATAGTGATTAATGTCATTTTACATCAGGTTCAGACAAGTGTAGCTTAAAACTATTTGTCGCTTTTTGTTCCACTTGTACCAAAAAAAAAAAAAAAAAAAAAAAGGAAGGATGAAGGACAAAAACAAAGATAAAGAGAGAATGAAAGAGGTCATTGAGGAATTTAAAATGTGAACCACAAAATTTCAGCAGGACTCCGAAACAGCCCAGGCCTAAGGAAGAGCTGCTTTAAGAAGGAGGTGCTAAGAGAGGTGAGAGACTGCACTGTGAACGCCCAAGGTGTGAGGGTTCACCCGATAAGGATGGAGTATGGAGACAGTACAGGTGAACGGTAGCTACACCAAGATGAGCAAACAAAACTTATTCCACAGCTGGTAAAAATACCAAGAATATACCCCAAATTATCTAAACACTTGCCATTCTGTCAAATAAGAGAGAGAAAGGAAGAGAGTGAAACAATTTTCCTTTGAATAGTGGGAAACAAAATGGGATTCTTTTGCAATGCTAATTTCAAAGGTTTATATCCTTAAGAACACAAATAGTCAGTGGTGAGGGAAGGTGTTTTCCCAAGTCATTGCAAAAGACTCCTTAAAGATCAGCTTAGAAGCCATTTAGAAGCCATTTCCCATCAATTCCAGTGAAACATTCATGAAATATTAGAATCCTCATTCCCAGGGGAAAGAAGTCTCTTTAAGCTTAAAAAATAATAGAGAAGATTAAGAAATAACTAAAATGTGCTATGTGCTGCAAAGTTAAAATGTTTTTTCCTATAAGAAAGTAATGAGTTGAAATATCCGATGAAATTCCAACCTAGGAACAATGAGGGAACCATCTGGCTACATTTCTCCTGCTAAGTGTGGACTTTGGGCATGTGCACATGGACAGAAGACTCTTACGTATAAGGAATGCGTGAGAGGCAGCAGGAAGTCCCCATTGGAAAGATCCTGAATGTCATTTATTTGTAATCCAAAAGAACTTACAGAGCCCACCTGCCATTTTAATACTGTGTCATTTCTGTAAATGTGAGTATATGAGAATATTCAGAACCCAACAATATTCATTATTAAACACAGAATTCTTCTAACACTTTCTGAAATTGTTTCTATAAATTGGAAACAAGGGTAAGGGTAAAAGCACATATGCTAATCAAAGTCTATGTTCCTCATTACCCCTACTATATTTTTTTTTTCTCACAGATCTGAAGGTTCATTTATCAGTGAGAACATGTTTCCATGCCTACTCAGGACTTTATCACATGCTCAGAGGCATCAGATGAACATTTTCAACCATGTTCTTATTTTCAATATTCAATTAATTGCTGTATGCTATATATCAATTGTTTGCGAGCAACGTGTATACATTTTTTTCTGGGGGCCTCTGTGAATGGTGTTATCACACTCTTATCTGCTTATCTATGATCAGTGATGAGACCACTGCGTTCACAAAAACCCCTACTTCTGACTATCCTGACTTTCCAAGATGCATCTTGAAATGCTGTTGCCTCCATGCAGGAAGAAGCTAGGGTGGATGGACTGGGTGGGTGGGAAGGCAGCACTGAAATAAAAGAAAAGGCACCAGAGCTGAGCATCTCCTGCTCCCCTGGCCTGCAGGCAGCAAGTAACAGCAGAAACTGGGGGTAGCACTTCATATGGACCCGGTGGACTCCACAAAGCCAGCTTTACGTGAGATTAATGCTCTTGATAGGGGTTGTTTGCCACACATTGGTTATATCAGGGAGATGAAAAATAAAACGTTATCATTAATATCAGTTCTTTCAATAGTTTCTATAACATAAAAAAGTTGCTTTTAGTTATAATTTAGTACTTTCAATACTTTCACTAATTGATATAAATGCGCAAGTTTTGTTTTGTTTTTTTTTCTTTTTTTGTAGGGAGAGAGGAGGTGTGGAGTCTATCCAAACGCTAAGGAAGTGGTTGGGTATTTTACAGACTGGCTCTTCAGGACGTCACTATAGACCAGACAAGTGGACTTCCAGGCCAACCGCATGTCAAGGAGCTCCCTGGAATGCCATGAAATCCAAAAGTCAGAATAAGGCGAGTTTTGCAGCAGACTGCAGAACACGTCCACGCTTCATTGTGCCTGCGCCTCTGCTCCGCTCCCTCCACCAGCAATGGCACAGAAACTGCAACAGGAGCGAGGTGGGGTACCTCGCAGTCTACTGTAACCTCTGCAGGTGTGGGCCAGGTGGAATTCCTGGGCTTCCCTAGGCAAGATGAAAACATACAAGTTGGTTCCGAGAATCTAATAGCTTTATCCAGATTTGGAAGATGTACAATCCGTGGTGAATAATTGTTTGGCCACATCTTTTTCTTCATTTTATGAAATATTACGGACCTAAGCACTTCTTGTGGAAGGAGCAGGTGTCTCAGAGAAAGTGCCTATTTTCTTGAAATAAAACATCATGAAGATTTACGTTCCAAAGAAAGAAGACATTCACATTTCTAAAGACTCCTTCCCATGTGGGTGGCACATTTATAAAATAATGCTCAAAAAACAAACCAATGGACTTGTCAGAGAAATAGGCTGAACACAATTAAAAACTTCACACCCTGGCTCATTCAACAATGGTCAAGATTTTCATGATGCAGTATTTCGATTTTTGTTGCTTTTAAAGACGTGTACTTTTGGCAGCAATGGGACACTCTGGTGGCTTGAAATGTATCCGAACTTCAACTCTGAAGCCTCAGAAACAGGGGCAGTCATGGGGCACAGGCCTTGAGAACTGGGGATTTACAAGAAGCCAAAAACATAAGCGCTATTAGTAATCATCATAATTATTGAGATCTGTAAAGTAGGCGTTAGAGTAGGTCTTCCCAGTGAGATGTGGGTTGAAGTATTTGTTTCTTTCCTCTAGGATCAAGTTGTTTTTGTTAAATGCCTGGAAAATATATGAAAAAAAAAAAAAAAAACCCAAGTTTAAGAATGCTAAGTAGCATTTCAGAAAGAATATAATGAGGATGACTATTATGTTAAATTTGTGCTCTCTGCTAAGGTTCCATTATTTTAAAATATGTTTTTTCAATTATTTACTTCTCCAGATGATTTGCCTCATGGAGGACTTGCCTAATTACCAGAATAAAGTTGGCAGTTTGTGGTTATCTTCTGGTTTACTTTTCAACTTCAGTTACGAAGTTTCCAATAGAAGCAGGGGTTTAGAAAACCTAAATCTAAATCTCTAGAAAACTTAAAACGCTGATGATTTCTGATTAACAGACACTTTGAATGTAACTGAATATATAGAACTGAATTCATATTCATATAACTGAATAAATACATAAGTAGCTTTCAGATGTCCATGGGTGGGTATATTTATCAGAGACCTTGGCAGAACTTATTTAAGTAAGGGCATTAGGTTTTGAATGTCTTAATTTCTTTTCATTCTTAACTCGTTAGAAGGTGATCACTGTAGTTTTCTATTAATAGTTATTAAAGTCACCTGCAGTTTCAAACAGCCCAAAATGAGTCCATAGGCGGGATAAATATTGAGAGGACTAAAATGAAGATGAAGAAGGGTGCACAAAGGCCATCTGTCCAGGATTAGTCTGGGCAAAGTATCAGAAAAAAAAAGTTCTGGAAGGATTCATTAAAGACTGGGCAGCTGTCCATGCCTTCAAGGCCCTTTGCCTTCATGGCAGAAACATTTCTGATTATTTAAAAAGTGGCTGTTGAATCTTAAGTGGGAACACAGGACTGGGCAAATTACCTTCTGAAGCCTGTAGTAACAGTGGCCAGAGACCAGCTGGTGTGTTGGAATCATGCTCAGAGGAGCCGAGTATTTCTTGAGATCTAAATGTTTGTTTCAAAAGCTCTTGTTCAGGGAAAGAGCTTGGGCTCCTCTTCAGGCCTCCTCCTTACTCTAGGAGCTCATTTCTGAGAGGCCAGGAAGGGCGTGTTATTCATTCCTGGTGCTTCATTCCTTAAATCTACCACCTGAGTTGGGGGAGATGCCAATGCCTTGCGGATCATCCAAGGGGAAAAGTCAATGGATGTGTCTCCATCCAGGTGGTAGAGAACAGAGGCCACAGGGCTGAGAGGAAACAAGCATGGACATGTGGCTCCTGGGACGTAAGGTCTCCCAGCCACATGAAGTCACAAAGGCTAAAGATATTCCACATTCTCACATAGGGAGGAAATTCAATGTCAAAGAAAACCACAGCAGAGAAAGGGCATCAAAATACTCCCTACGAGTGTTAAGGGAAACCAGGCACCTAGCAGGAATATCAAAATTTAGTTAAACTTCTTGCAGGAGAATGCCCTTCATTCATGTGTGTAATAAGGGAGGTTGGGTGCAAAGGGCCAAAGCCTTGATGTCTTTCCAGCTTCTCCCCTCACCTCTGGTGTATACCCACAACAAAGCCTCGTGTTTTTTAGAACATTCAAACCTCACAATAACAATATGGGAGCATGTACTTTATCCATTTTAAAGATGAAGAAACTAACGTTCAAAGAAGTAAGGAACCTGTAGTCTGAACCATAATGCAAAGTGCCTCAAGTAAAAACCACATTTATTTTGCTAGGTGCTGTTCAGAGCATTTTAGGTAAATTACCCCATTTAATTCTCCTTTTCTCAAGTTTATAGGAGAAATGGTGGCTGATTGCATAAGAAGAACTAGCATAGGTTTACCCAGCTGGACCTGGTGCCAACCCATGAGCCAGGTTTGTGAGGTTCCAAGCTGATACCCAACCCCTTCCTCCTCAGAATGTGAAGGGAACTGGCCATTTACTCTAAACTTCTGGGTCAAATCCTGGATTAATCACTCATTGGGGAAATGAAGAACATACATCACCCAATACCAGGTAACCACACTTTTATAACAACAGAGTTGAAAAGCCTTTACTCTGCTTGAACATGATTTAAAGACAGCTTTTATTATAAAAAAGGCAGGGTCCACCTGCCTTCTCTGCACACCTGGCCACCACTGTCACTGCTGACTCCTTACCTTGATGGCCTCCACAGAGTCATACTTGTCCAGTTTGTTGATGTGGTTGGTTATGCTGGTGTTGAGAGGGGCAGGCGACACAGGGTGGATGACAGTCGCATCGTGGGATTGCTGCTGGTACCGCTGGCAGTAGGTGTAGACGAGCAGGGTGAGGAGGCAGCCGAGGATGGAGCTACTCAGCCCCACGGCAATCATGTGGAACATGTTGAATTCTAGGGGGACAGGAGCAAAGTGATGCCACACTTGAAAAGAACACCCTGCCTAGCTACTCAAAGTGCTAGATGAAAAAAGAAAGTCACAATGAAAAGCCCCATCCTCATTCTGAAGTTTAGGAAATCATCATTCTTCAGTCTTTCCTTGGCAATGTCATGGCCATCAAGGGACTTCTCCACAGTGAGCACAGGATAGTTTAAGTTCCTTCTCTTATGGATGATAGCCAGTCTTTTGGAGTGACCTTAAACTTTAATACACTACCAGAAGCTTTTTTTTTTAATTTGAAGGTTTGCACAACAGTGTTCTTCTGCTTCAACTGCAGCCCAATCCATGGTGGACAGGGTTTCTGCAGAAAAGGTTATTCATGCTTCTCAGTGGGTTGAGCCTCCCTGTGTGTAGCAGGGCTGTGTCCTGACATCAAGGGAGGAGCAGCTACTCTTCCAATCTGCTGCTCACCTGATAGCCAGACCGCTTTTAGCCTTCTCTCTATTTCATCCGATTTAAAAAGTTTTCTATTCATATAAACTCATATGTTTTTCATTATATTTTTCGAGTATGAATACACACACATTAGAAAGTGCCAAAGGGTGAATAGGAAAAATAAATCCTTCTTACCCAGAGGTAACTATTATAAGCATTTTTTCCTGTGTCCTTTCAGAGATGCTCTGCACACTTACATGCTGTGTGTGTAGTGGGTGGGTGGGTGGGTGTGTAAATACTATCCTGTGTACCACTTTTCTCACTTATGTTGTATTTTGGAGGTCTTGTCAAGAAAATGATTTACAAAAAGAAATAAGGAATTCGTGTTACATGAATAAAATATGATCTTTTATTTAAAAGGTCATGAAATGACCTTCTTTTATTAATGCCTTCCTATTTCATGGCATCTTTTCTGTTTCATTAAGTTATTTTCCTGGAGTTATAAATACATAGCATTCAGAAAATTCTCCAGCATGGACTTGCAGCTATAAAATAGGATTGGCTCAAGTGACATCAAGGCACCATAGAAAGACCTGTGTGATGTCTGAGTAAACAAGAAAGACAACAGATATTCCTGTGTGTTGGTGAAATACCACTACTAAATTTTCAAGCCTTTCAGGAAACGAAGGCACCATGTGGCCAGCACCACAGAGCTGGGCTCTGGAAGAATCAGGTGAAGCAGAACAGGTGGTTATCTTCCTCTGTGTTGTTGGAAGCAAGTGGCTGCTGCCCATGGGGTACTGGCCTCATGTGCCCCTGCTCAGAGCACATCCTGAGGACACCAGCTTTCCCCCAGGGTGTCCCCTCCAGGTACCACCAGGGTGAGGGGCAAGGCTGCCAATACCTTTCCCTGACCTGTCAATCCTCCACTGTGTGGGACAATTGGAGGTATGTGCTGAGTATCACTGCAATGCGGACAAGCCTGTCTGCCGGCAGAGAAAGGCCTTCAGGGCTAGAGTAACAATGAGAAGAGCCTGCAGGTTTGTCCCTGCACGCAGAGCCTGGGTGCATCTTAACCATCCCAGTCTCCTCCCCAGGGATTTTCTGAGCTGCCTCCCCTGTGCTCATGTTCTTCACTGTCTGGAAGGGACTCCACCCTGCCAATGCTGCTCTACAGGGCTCTGACACTTGGTGTCAAAGGGAAGGACACTGTTCACTGAGTGGCCTCCAGATCTAGGTCTATGGGGCTCTGTTTGAGTCCGTCCTGAAACTCATGTAACCCTACAGTGGTGGAGAGGCCCCAGGGAAGCTGAACCTATAGTCAGGAGATGCCATCAAAACCTCACCTGTGATACTGGTAGAAGCTAGATACCTCTCTTTGTCCCAAAAACCTGAACTTTTCCCTCTAAGCTGTGCTCCTTGGCTGCTCCAGACACCATGTTACAGGAACCCAGAACTCTGGAGCTGGATCTGCCCCTTCAGGTACACAGACATTGTGAAGGAAGGCTGCCTTTTGTCTGGCTCACTGTCGGGCAGAACTCACAACACACTCCTGACCACTGAAGTCCCAGTGGATGATGCAGTTCCTCACACAGGCACCCAGTGAACTCAGCACTAAAGGCTGGACCATCCGGGACGACAGCACTAGGACATTCCACAAGCATCACCCACTCCCTGACAACCACCTCAACTTCTCACTTCCAGCTTAGTTGGTCAGTGCTTTCAGAATCTTTGGCCTTTCCTGACTCTTGTCATGAAGGCTCTAGGGCTGGAGAACTCCCAGCCTGGAACAGGCGGATAAAGTAGCCAGGGGGCATTCCACCTGCAAACACTGGGACTTTTACTGTAACACCGAGGCTGTACTTAGATAAACAAGAGCCGATTTCACACGAGTTCTTACTTCTCTGTACTTCAGCTGTTCGCGCTCCCCAGGGTCAATGCCCTACACTAATGGAAATACTTCCTGCTGCACTGATAGCTCATCTTTCATTATAACATGGGGAAGACGCATGATGGTCTCCATATGCAGATACTGTGTCATTAGTCAAATGAATCATTCCAGCAGGTGCCTGGGGAAGGCTGGGGCCAGCTGACACCTTTATGATGATTATGTCATATTATGTCATTATGTCTTTGTGTCTCATGCAACTAACAATAGTTCTCTAAGATGAAAAATTTCAATGGAAGCCCATTTTTCTGCATGGGGAAAATAGTGCCCATTAAATTTCTTTCGAATGTGCTTACTGTGGTTCTTTCCTTTGAATATCATTTTCTACTCTTGATTTTGGTCAGTAAAGATAGAATACAGACCAACTACCCTGTTGGTTCAATTAGCTAGTTTCCTGTATAAAGTTTGATTGATTTTCCAACAAAATGAAAATAATACAAATGAAGATGCCTATGTTGTCAAAAACATCCTTGCTTGGTAACTGTTTTCAACTATTAGCCCTACAGTGGGATTCATCCGAACTGCCTATGCTATTGTGTCAGTGCCAGCTGCCTGATTTAAAAAAATCCGTTCTGAATATCCTAGAGTGGTTCAAGTTCCTGTGATTTAACCAATAGCATCTCAAGGCTTGGTACAGCCACTAGGCAGCTGGTCCAGACACACAGAAGCAGTATTTAGAGTGGGGATGGGCTTTACACCACATTCTCCTGGGTGCTCAAGGCCCTTGAAGATCTTCCACAGAGTAACTCAGTGGGGCTAAGCAGGAGGAAAGCGAATTGCACACATCTGACAGCAGGCACTAATGTCTAGCTAGCTTTGCTGAGGCATCCGCTGTTTGAGACTCAGGCTCTGTGTAGCCTGAGAATATAACTGAGAATGGGAACACTTATAAACTCTGTTCAACTCTTGACCTACACTGTCTCTGATGGCAGCAGACAGTCCTGGACCCTTGTCTATTGTCCAAGAGTGTTACCTAACCAGGGAGGCTGTGGCTCCAGCCTCCTGAACACAATGCTTTTGAATACTTACTATCAGGGTTCTCTTCCTAAGGTGCTCTGTGCTCAAAACTCACACTGGAGCCACTGGCTGAATTCCGTGTGTGCACTTGGGCCAGTGACATCAACACTCTGAGCCTCATAGTGTCAATTTATAAAATACAGATTAAATACATAACCACTGTTCCTTTTCTATAATTCCTAACTGTAAAATCTCAGAAAAGTAATGTTTCATCAGTCATCTGGCAGCAAAATGTCACCGATCTGACCCACTTTTCTGCAGAGCTGACCAGAAGTGCTATGAAGACCCTTAGCGTCTTCACTTTTTCGACATCTCACAGCAGCATTATTAAAGAGATTAGCTGTAGAACAACCCCAGACCCTGTGCAGGTGTCATGTAATACAGAGTACAGGTCCCACATACCCTTCTACCATCTAAAAACTGCTGAGTTCCAAAACCCTTCTCTGTGTCCAGAGGTGTTACATAAAGAACTGTGGCCTCTGGCACCTACATGAATGCTCCTTGTGAGGACCAAATGGGCTTTGCACCATATTCTTGTCTAAACCATGTAAAACAGTACATAGCATACAATTACTGATCTAAAAACATTAGAGGGTACTAATTGGTATGACCATTTTTATGTGAACTGGTTGCATATTCATCTTGTAGTTGGATAGTTGGATTCCATATTAGCGACAGCCGGTTAGTGAACTCACTCCACTGACTTTACTCAGACACCTGGCATTGCCCTTCTGAGGCACTGGAGTCTCTGATTATATGATTGCGGGTCAGAGGGGCTGGGGATACTGGGTGCCCATCGTAAGCTCAATGGCCTTCACAAAACTGACACAGAATGCGTGTTCGGCAAGGATTACTGAATTAATGAGTGAGCTAACAGATTGCTGACTAAGTAGACAGAATGTTACAGATAGCTTTAAAAAAAAAAAATGCAGGGTCTCATTCTGTTGCCCAGGTTTGAGTGCAGTGGCATGATCTCAGCTCATTGCAACTTCCGCCTCCCAGGTTCAAGAGATTCTCCTGCCTCAGCCTCTCCAGTAGCCAGGACTACAGGCATGTGCCACTGTGCTGGCTAATTTTTATATCTTTTGGTAGAGGCAGTATTTTACCATGTAGGCCAGGCTGGTCTAGAACTCCTGACCTCAGGTGATCTGCCTGCCTTGGCCTCCCTAAGTGCTAGGATTACAGGCATGAGCCACCATGCCCAGCCAGTAAGCTCGTAATCAAAGTACTTAGTAATGGTAGTCAGAAATAATAAGTAAATTCCTGAAACATGCCTATGAAGCTTCATGTTCCATAAGAACATGTCAGAGGCAATGCCTGTCAGGCTGGGCTCTCTCAGACACCCTGTGGAATGGATTAGGGGAGCAAATGGGAATCTATCATCATTAGTCACACATGTGGAAAGGAAGGCCTCGTTGTAGATATTGGCTTGGATTCTGAAAGGCGGACATGGTCTGTCCCTTGGTTGCTGAACAAGCCAGCCTCTCCATCCAGGCATGTTCACAGCACAGACAAGTACTTTATGGGTATATGTAAGGCACAGATGGCAAAGTCCAAAGTTGTCATGCACTTGAAACAGACAATGTTGTCTCTGACATTCCTCGTGGCAGCAGGTTTGAAAAATTCCTCTAGCACAATAGGTATAAACTTATGCCTCATTACAATTTAGTCATTTCAGTGGGTTGGAGGTTGGAGGCTAGCTTCCATGGATTTGTACTATACATATAAACAAATTATTTGAATTCTACTTTACTCATGAAACTCTACAGTCAATATTGAGACTACTGATTCATAAAGCTGAGCATCCATCAGAATCAACTGCAGGGCTAATTAAACCACTGACTGCTGGGACCCTCCCAGGGAGGTCCTGATTCTGCGGATCAAAGTAGGGCCTGAGGATCTGCATTCCCATCAAGTTCCGAGGCCACGCCCAGGATGTGGGTTTAGGCACCCCACTTTGAGAACCACCAATCTATATGTCAAATATTGACTACTTTATGCCAAGGTAGAATGCCTGGGATCCATAGCTTTTCTCCAGTTTGTCATTCTTGACTAAGAGGCAGAAACATTATAGAAAACATGCAGGAAGGGAAATGATTAGAATATATCAGTATACCCATTAAAATTACTTAAAAGGAAGACATACCTCCACATCTTTTCTCTTCTACGCTACTGGATCTTGCCACAGATACTTCTGGAAAAACAAAAGTCAAATCACAATGTGTAAAAGGTATCGGGAAGACAGTCCACATTCACGCTTCATGTACGTTTGTCTAATGATTCTGGATTTTATGTGATGGAAAGTTTCAAAAGCCTGATTAATTATCAGAAAAATTGTACTTGTTTCTTTGTTTTGACCAACCTGATATGGATTTGGCCAAAGCACCTTGACTAAGGACAGGTGGGATCCATTTATCACAGAAAGATAATGGATGGTCCCTTGGGCTGAAAGCAGGGAATGTGCTCATTTTCCTCCTGCCGGGGAGGAATCCCCGGCTCTGCCCAACACACAGAGTAATCCTGTTGTATTCCTGCTTCCTAGATTTGTTCCATTAAAGCCAGTGTTGCCACCTTCCTGGCAGAGGGAAGGCCCCTTCACCAGAGCTCAAGGACGTCTCTAGAACAAGTGAAGTCCCTCTTCAGGAGGACTTTGACGATCTTTGCATGCCACACATGAAACATACAGAAGGTGCAGAAAGAGGCCACATCTCCTATGTGTTCTAACTCCTGAGGGTAAAATACCACTTCAGAAGTCTAGGAACATCATTCTTTCCTGTATTCATTTTTTATTAGATAACAAGAATTAAAAATATGTCTATGGTTAACAAGGACAACAATTACAACCACTCATAGTTCTGTAAGGTACATGATTGAGGTATGGTATACTACTTTTCTCTAAAATATTATCATTTGCATAAATGAAGAAAAACAAAGAACTGGCTTATAGAATTCAACCCTATTATCTATTTACCAACAACTACACACTGACTTCACCATGAAAAGCTGATAGAATGAGGGCCACCCTCTTCTCCAACAGAAGAATAATGATGCATTTCTACTTTCCCAAGTATATTAAATATTGCATAAAGAGAATGGCCCTTTTTCTCTATGTTCCTGTGCATATACAGGGAGCACTGCCCAAACATTTGACCTAATATTAGAATAACCAAATAACCAAATAATATTTAATAATAACCAAATAACATTTTCATTTTTTGAGCAAAGTCTTCTGACTGTATTATAGTCGATAAAATGCAAAAGACACTGTGCCTAAGAAACATTATACTCATGAACTGAATTCAAGTTTAAATCTGCATTTCCCTATAGACCTACATTTTAAACACCTTGAAATCACAAGGCTTGATAGAATCGTCTCTATTTCGCCAAATAAGCCAAATAAAACACTGATGTATGAATCATTTTCTCTCTCCATGTTGGAGATGATTTTGTTCTTGTTGAGAAATGCCTCTGCCCTTACCTGGGATGAAGTTAGAGTCGAACACACATGGCTGGCTCTCTGTGGTGTTCCCAGAGCACTGGCTGCCCACGGGGAAGGAGAGGATGCACTGGCGGGAGCGGACTCGGATGCCAGAGGCTTCGCACTCAGACCAGTCCGACCACTCTGACCAGCTCTCTGCAGAGACCAGAAGAGGGAAGACCAGTCAGCTCCATCATACTGGACTCACTGGCAAGTTACATGTGTGATTCCTGGATTCCACAGCATGTCTTTAATGGTTCTGTGCATGAGTAAGATATGGCTGTATCATCTAACAGGTCCAGTATGTAAAATACTCACGAGGATGAATAGAAGTGCCTGAGCTGGTATATATGTGATCAGATATCATGTGCTTAAAATAAACTTCCTAAGGCCCACATTATTTTAACGTTATAAAATAATTGTATCTAGACATTCAACAAGTGAATCCATGAGACCCAGCCGTGTGCAGACCATCAGCAGCAGAGGCATGTAAGTCATGAGTGCAGGCGCCACTTCGCTATGGGCAAAGCTCTGCTCAAAGAGCCTCAAATGCTTTCCTGAAACATTCCTGAAAATTCTCCACCTTGCTCTGTGCTCAGGCCAGAGAAATAACTGTGTGCTCATGAGAGTCCCAGGTTGCTGAAAGGGAGTCTGAAGCTATACAATCACTTACTCCTCTGTCATATAAACAATTCCGTGGAGTCAACTGCCAAAGTCAGCCTGCCCTGGAGGTAGAATTCATTTTATCCCATGTTTGCTGTCTCTGAAGAGATAAGTAAGGTCAGTGCACAAGTCCTGAGTCAAGGCCAAAAGATGGGCATTGAAAGGATGCAGAATACTTCACCCTGAAGTGGAAGATTGACTAGGATTTGTGAAATGCACCCAGGCATACAGACATGTGAAAAGAAAGGAATAACACTGCTACAAAAGTAAGATGGTTAAAAAAGTAAACTCTCATTATAAAATTTACGAAATTTTAATCAGGATAAAAAGGTATTTTTCTATGCAGTTTGTTTTTTCCCCCTTTTTAAATAGAAGCACTAACGTTACAGTGGCAGGGAAATATTAAAAATCAAACTTGTGCCTTGCTCCAGGTGAAGGGTACAATGTTTCCTTAGAAATGCATGAAGTGTCAGTTTTTAGAATGACAGTGAGAATCTGGCTTCAAGGCCCTTTTCAACATACAAAGAACCTTCTAGAAAGATGCGCAGGAGGAAGCTAAAACAGTGTGTGTTTCAATGTCAAAGTTAGACCCCGAAAAGAGATTTTCATTCCAGGTGGTTCCTGCATGTCAGTAAACCAAGCTATTTCTGGGATGGTGGTGGCGGTGGAGTCCCCAAGTGCCTGCATCAGCCACAGGGAGCTTGGATCGAGGAGCTCCCACACCCACAGGCCCAAGGATGGCTCCTGTGAGGTGCACCTCATAGCAGTGTTCCCTGCTCCCCACCTTGACTTTAAAAACAAAACCTCAGACTCTGTTCCTAGGCAATCTGCTTTACAAATGCTTTGCTATCACCAGTTTCTGTTGTTTGCTGTGCTCCTCTGCTTACTGATTTGATGTCACGATTTTTCTTTCCTCTAATTGGACCATCTCTGAATTACAGCCCATTGACCATGGGTGAAGCATCCTCCAGGAGTGCTTAGTGTCCCCTTGTTACATTTTAGGGGTCATTCCTGGAACGTAGGACTCAAATCTTTGGAAGACACGTGGCTGCACCCAGGCTGTCTTTGAGACAAAAAGTCTTCAGGCTATTTCCCCACTCAGACCTCCACACCTGGGAGGGCACTACAAATGCTCGCTCGTTCCCATCTTTCCTTGAACTTTCTCCAACACAGCAAGGTGCTGCCTGTGGGTCACTACTGTTAATTAGCAAAGTCAAGAACAAATTGGGATGTTTCCTAATTAGGGACATTGGGTGTTGTACCATGCCACAGATTCAGAACTAGTGTTTGAAGCCTTTAGCACTCTCCCATTGATGGGCTAAAGGCTTTGAACATGAGTTCTGAATCTATGGCACAGTAAGAATTATTTTATTATAGATGCTATGTTTTAAAGTAGCTTCAAGGGTAATAGTGTGCTGCTGACTCGTCCACCTCTTTCAGTACTTAGTGTGATGTAGTATCATCAATGACACCATTTATCCATTATGGAAAGAGGCCAATTTTGTCCTGAAGCTGCAGAGTGGGCAAGGTGCTGCTTACCTGGGCAGGGCTGCGTGTTGCAGAGTGCCTCTTCCGTGTGCAGCCCCAGGCAGATGTCCCCTCCATAGGCCGGGGCTGGATTGGAGCATGAGCGGGTCCTCATATAGTGCCCACCGCCACATGTTGCTGAGCATTTTGTCCAGGGGGACCAGCAAGACCACACGCCATCCACTGTGAAGGAACACAAAGCCATAGCACTTCTGTAATCCAGTCCCAAACCAGCTAAGGGAGTCACTAAATGCCATTTAGTAATGGAAGCTGAATGGGATCTGCACTCCAGGAGGGCTGTAGAGCGCACATCACAACCAGGCTTCCGGCCACTCCCAGTGCTGCCTCTGGAGTCTTCCTCTTGGTGACAGATCCAATTTTATAGATTCCTCCCTACACTTTTTCAGTTTCCTGTATTCATTCTTGCAGAAACTATTTCTAAATCTATAGTATCTAAGTACAAGCATGACAGCGGAGGGCGTGAGGTGTCCTACTAATTCCATTTCCTGAGAACAACCATGAACCACCCTGTATGGTTATTGATGTAAAGCCCCAGTCAGCTCTCAGCACCATCTGACTAGCCAGATGAGGCTTAAAGCCAAGGATATGTAGTTCAAGTCACAAGCTCCTTTGCTAATTGGATTATGGTTTACTCCTTGACAGTGGAATAGAGAAAAGCTAACAGGTCCCATGAGGAAGGTAACTGAAGAATGCTCCGTAAATTCAGGCATAAAACCACCAAACGAAGTACAGCCACACAGACTTGCTGTGTTTAAATGACCACAGAGAGGAATCTGAAAATCTGCAGCCATAAGTCGGGTCAGATATTAAGGGTACAGTTTTACAATATGAACGTGAGGCCGAACTGGCTCCTTGAATGACCGTTCCCATGACAGCTCATAACTCAGCACACGTCACTGCTGAACTGAATTCTTTAGGCTGGGCTCTTGGTACCTGTAGACTGGCTTGCTGAATGCTGGGGTCTGTTGGCACACCGGAATCTGGGAGACTTTAGGGCTCAGTCCTTTACTAGCTGACCTTGCTAAAACTAAGACCTCGTGTTGGCTTAGGTTTGTGACAAGGTCAAATATGATTTGCTGTTTAGCTAACTCCTGACTGTGCCTCTCTCTTACTAGCCAGATCTGCCCTGTTATTGCAGAGTCCCAGGACAAAGCTACAGGACACTGTCAAATAAGGTATTAGAGCCTCATCAAGAGTTAAGGACCAATCATAAGCACACATAACTCAATTAAAAAGCTGAGGAGAGATTCACTATTGCTATATAGAGAGAATCCTGTTTTAACTTTCTCTGTAGCCTGTACAAAGAAACAGGAGCAACCATGACAGAGAAAGCCAAAATCATTCAGGACATAAGATTGTTTTAGCTAGAATAACTTTGATTGTATTTTAATATGCCTGCCATGATGGAACACATCATTATGGTGTAATGTTTCTTTTTAGATATTGACAACGGTAAAAAGAAAGCATTTTTTAGAAACCACAGCAAAACCATCATCTTTATAACAATATTCTAATTTACAAAAAGTTAAAAGGAAACAAAAATATGTGAACCAAATTTAGAAAGAAGATTGCAATCTAACTGGAGATTCTGTGATTCAATAGTTTACACAAACTTTTCAATTTCAAAAGTATTCTTGAAATTTTGAAAATTTAACAGTATTTTCCCCTAAAAGTTATATGATATAACAGACAGCTAGAGGAATTGAGACAGGCATGTGTTTTCCTAGAACTTTAACATTTTCAAAAACTCTCTCCCATATCTAGCCACACTGCAAGAAGCACTAGCTGTCAGTTTTTCCTGCCTGTAACCTAAATCGGAACTTGGCTTCCAGTGGTACCCTTGCATGCCCCATACACCAAGGCAAAATAAGTCATTGTGACTTACAGTAATAGCAAGTATCTTAGATCTTGGCTATCTAAATGTGCACAAGGCAGCCCAGGGCTCAGAAGGGTCTAATTTGTGCCCTAGATTTTGTCAGGGCCTGAGGTACAACCAATCATGTGTTCTGAAGATCCCTGGCCTCTGTATGGTATCATAAACCTGTAGATAAATGGCCAACAAGTATATGAAAAGTTGGGGGATTGGGGAGGGAGAGCATTAGGAGAAATACCTAATGCAGATGATGGGGCGATGGACGCAGCAAACCACCACCATGGCATGTGTATACCGATGTAACAAACCTGCATGATCTGCACATGTACCCCAGAACTTAAAGTACAATAAAAAACAAATAAAATAAGAAAATAAAAAAGATGCTCAGCATCATGAATCAAGAGGGAAATGCAAATCAAAACCACAATGGCAGATCACCTCTCACCTGCCAGAATGGCTACTGTCCAAAAAACCAAAGATGAGTGTGGGTGAGGATGTGGCGAAACGGGAGCCCTTGTACACTGTCGGTGGGAATGGACAGTGGTGCAGCTGCCTTGGAAAACAATGTGGAGGGTTGCCAAAAAATTAAAAACAGAGGCCACACATGGTGGCTCACGCCTGTAATCCCAGCGTTTTGGGAGGCTGAGGCAGGTGGATCACCTGAGGTCAGGAGTCTGAGACAAGCCTGACCAACACAGTGAAATCCCATCTCTACTAAAAGTATAAAAATTAGCCCACTATGGTGGTGCGCTTCTGTCATCCCAGCCCATTTTCAATTGTCCACTCTGAACTCAACTGGGTTAAAGAAAAGTGAATTCACAGGGGAGAGTGTTCTAAATGAGGTGGGAATCGCCCTCTAACTGGCTTCCTGGTGACCGTGCAGCTCAGCATTCACACCTCTAGCACTTCCAACCCTCCCTGCTGGGTTACGGCCTGTCATATGTTTAGGAATTTCCCCGGCAGGGGAAGCACTACTCAGCCCTGACTCACCCACTGCCTAGTGCAAGGTGACACGGGGCCACTCTGTATAACTCCACAACACTCTGCAGTATCTTGTTTTTTTAAAAAAGAAAATGAGGACAGAGTTATTTCAACATATTAAGGTTATGTATACACAGTATTGGCTTGACCACCAAATCAACTAAAATGAGAATAACCAATTGACCATGTTAATAGAGTGTCTCTGAGATAAGTGGTGGCCCTTTGCACTTGTACACCAGGACAGCATCCAAGCGTCTGGAGGAATCTGCATGTCCTACGCATGGGAACAAGGATGGAGTCTGGAGCCCAGGAAGGAAAGGGTGGGTGGGAAAACCTTGATATTCCCATGACGTCTGCCCTTGTCCAGTTTACAGCATGGACCTGAATCTAGTGAGGCTGCCCACAGGATTCCTCTCAGCCCCCAGAGGAGGACTTCGCTTCACTGGGGCTGTGGGAAAGAACAGCTCAGTGACCTTTCCCAGACTCTCAGCATCGGCTTGTCTGGGAAAGCTGGGTGGGCAGAGGAGGAGTGTCCTGAGGCTGGAGAAATTCAAGCAGAGACACCCTAGGAGGAGCCATGCAGCTGGAAGAGCAGACACATTATTGGGAGCCTCAGCTATGAATCTAGAAACTACATTTTCAGTTTTATATATATGTTTATTATCCATCCATTCATCCATCCATTATCCACCCATCCAAGCAGCCATCCAATGAATGCTCATTGAGTATCTGCTACAAGCCAGTTTCTTGCTGTAAAAACTCAGAAAGTTGTCTGTATCTACTAGAAAGATGTTAATATTCTATGTCTTTAAAAATGTTGTACCCAACTTTGGAATGAGCCTTCTTCCCAATTTCCCATCTCTGCTTGTTAATTTCACCAACTCTTTTCTGTCCTTCAAGACTCAGCTTAAGGGTAACCTACCTGCTATGGCTGCCATAACTTCTCCTTGGTGAAAGCCACCAAGGAGCCAGCCCACTGCATCTGGTTGCCATAAACTCAGTAGCCAGTGACCATACCGGGTTGACACTGTTCCCAGGATTCTTCCCTCTAAAATCTAAGTTCCTTTTGGACCTGGATCATAGCACTGCATCTGTGTATACCCTGTAAATAGTTCACAGTGGGGTATTAAAAAACATTTCCTGAGAAATGACATGAATGAATGAGAAAGATCAGTTAACCAACTCTTTGTTTTCTCATTATTAACAAACAATCCCTGAGGGGTGTTTCCAGTATGTGCCAGGTCCCTACAGGGAGCTGAGGTTGCTGCCATGGGTGAGACCATGCCAGGAATCCCTGTCCTCCTGGAGCTTCGGGCAAAAGTCAAGGCAGCCTCCCCAGTTGCAGATCAGCCTTCCGGATGGCCATGATGTGTGGGCTAAAGATTTTCCGAGGAGGGTTCTGGACAGGAGAGCAGGAAGTGGGAAGCTCTGGTGGAAGCATTTTAGGTGCTAGGGACCCTGAGCTGTGGCAGGAAGAAGGCAGATACAGGGGCTTAAATATTAAATGGAAAGATGGAGGAGTATTTTGGGCACTGTCAGAGCAAAAGCCCTGGGCTGAGGCTCTTTCGGCTCATTTTCATGACTCTTTGCTTGCTTGGGAATTCAGTGGAATGAAAAGCCAGGTCTCAGGAAGAAGACTCAGACAAACAGCTCTGCCAGGCCCACAGGAGAGAAGAGTTTGCGTCTTTAGAGGACTTAATGAGGTAGACTCTCTGTGACAGAAGACACAGGGACCAAGAACTGGCTTGGCAGACCCAGGGTCCAGGAGGAGCACCTTTGATACCCGTGACCCTGGATGAAGACCTGATGGTACATGCAGGCCACGTAGGGGAGGGCTGGGAATCCCATCAGTGGCTGGGAAGGGATTAGCTTTCAGAAGGAACTGATGGTCACTTCAAAGACCCCATATATTTCCAGACCACATTAGAAAGGCCAGGTTTTCTGTAAGTCACAACACCTAGAGTCCATACCCTTCGAGCAGTTCATAGGAATGTTTTAATTTCTTTTACAATAAGAAAACACAAACACGCACACACATCAACACAATCTAGCCTAGATGGCATTTCTCTTTCCCCAATGCATTAGGGAGTGAGGAGCCCCTGCAGGCAAATGTGCCCAGGGCCCAGGGAAGTCCCACCGTGGCCCTGCCTGTCAGATATTTTCACATAGAGAACTAAAGCTTCATGCTTGCCTGAAAAGAAGGCTGAGAGAAGGATCTTAATATTGCTTGGAAAGATTTAGAATTTGGTTACAGGTATGCTGGAAAGAAAGGGTTAGAAATTGAGAACCCTTCTGTTATTCTTATTTTTTTCTTTTCTTTTTCTTTCCTTTTTCTACTCTGGGCTAATCCAAAAGGTGATGACATCACACAAGACATTTATTTATTTATTTAATTGTTTATTTTTGAGACAAGGTCTCATTGTGTTACCCAGGGTGAAGTGTAGTGGCCTGATCATGACTCACTGCAGTCTTAATCTGTTGGACTCCAGCAATCTCTCTCTCTCTTTTTTTTTTTTTTTTTCGTAGGGATGAGGTCTGTCTATATTGCCCAGGCTTGAGCTTGTAGGCTCAAACGATCCTCCCTCTTTGGCCTCACAAAGTGCTGAGATTACCAGCATGAGCAACCACACATAGCTAGGAAATTTATTAAGAACAGATCTCAAACATGAAGCCAGGGAGCTGCATGAGGCCTGGTAAATTAGAACGCTCTCCAAGGCCCTTGGGTTTTCAGATCTTTTGTAGATTAAACAATCCACTTACCTGGGCAGGGCAAGATGTTACATTCTTGGTATTCCAGGGATGGGCCGAGGCAAGGCATCCCCCCATACTTGGGTTCTGGGTTGTTGCAAACACGCTTCCGGTTCCGAATGCCCCTGCTGCAGTCACGGCTGCACTGTGACCATGATGTCCAGGCTGACCAAGCCCCATTGACCGTGTGGGCAGAGTATCTCCCAGCACGCAGGAAATCCCCAGAAAGCCCTGCCAAGGAAACAGGTAAAGTGTGATGTGTTTCAAGTTTCAGAGGAACCACAGTCCCTGCTAACTTTCGTTCTGTATCAGCTGTCCGCCTTACTCCTAGAATCACCCTCAAATTCAGTTGAGCTCTTTTTATACTTCAGCAGCCAGAAATCAGCGGAGTGATAACCTCTTATACTCCAAGCTTCTTCCCTGCAGTTACTAGGAAACAAAGCTGAAATTAAGAACTCCATTTGAGAATATAGTAACATCTTTACACAGGAAATAATAGTTCCTATATAGGTGGTTCATTTACTTTTTGACGAACCTTCTTACAAAGAAAATACAACTTTCTCACTTCCCTTGGGAATTCTACAACCAACTGCCCTGAGACACCACGGAGAGAGCCTGCCCTGGAGGACATCCATCTGCAGGAAGGGGAGCATGATTCAGACATTTTCTAAACCTGTTCTTTCATCTGTTAACCTTTCAAAGGTGAATTCATGCTGGTGAAAGGTGCCAAGCTAACTGCTCCTGGATCACAGGCCACAGAAACTCCTATCACCTCCGTGGAACTTGTGCCCTAGAACTGAACAGTGCTGAATGACTTTGCCAGATGTGTCTATGAAGTTCAGAGCTTACTACCTAACAAAATGTGTTTCCCTAGGAGCCAAGAGGGGCAGCAGCAGCAGCAGTCAGGGTTGCTGGGGTGAGTGGGAGCTGCTGTAGCAGCAATCACAGGCACAGGCTTTGTAGACATACTGTGAGTGATGTGTACTCTGGGCACTTTAACTTAAGTCATGTAATTAGCCATAGTCAAAATTTATGTTTGTTTTGATGAAAATGTCTACCCACTCACAATACTAAAAAGTATTCAATAATTTTCTCAAATGTAGGCAATATGACACAAGCTTTAACAAATAACTCTAAAAGTACACAGTAAGGTTCTGGAGAAGTGTGGTCAAATGACAAATGTGCCAACAACTCCTGGTGTTGTTAAGCAACTGTGTTGTTTACTTAGAAAACCTGTTTTGAAAGGATAGCAGGATACTCTTCAGAGAAACTGAATTAGAAGTGTCTTTTGGTGATAAATCAGTATTCTGTGGTGAATCAATAAAGAATAACTATGCATAAAATCAAGCGTCATTTTATGTGGTAAGAGGAAAATGAGACCCATTTTGTGTTTTCAAGATATCAATACCAAAATGTGAGATGGTCATTAGAACTCAAAGCCATTAAGACACAGGAGGATAAAGTTCCATGCGTGCATGTGTTTATCACAGTGCTATTTACAATAGCAAAGACTTGAAACCAGCCCAAATGCCCATCAATGATACACTAAATAAAGAAAATGTGGTACACGTACACCACAAAATACTATGCAGCCATAAAGAAGGATGAGTTCACGTCTTTTGCAGGAACATGGATGAAGCTGGAAACCCTCATTCTCAGCAAGCTAACACAGAAACAGATAACCAAACACTGCATGTTCTCACTCATAAGTGGGAGTGGAACAATGAGTACACATGGACGCAGGGAGGGGAACATCACATACCAGGCCTGTCGGGGGGTGGTGGGCTATAGGGGGGATAGCATTAGGAGAAATACTTAACATAGACGATGGCTTGTTGGGTGCAGCAAGCCACCATGGCACGTGTATACCTATGTAACAAAACTGCACATTCTGCACATGTATATCCCAGAACTTAAAGTATAATTTTAAAAATATATTGAAGTCACATACAAAATGAAATATTAATGTTAATTTTATATTTTACATAAATCTTGCCATTCGTATATTTAAGCAATCCAATGTTAAGCTTTTTTGAAGGGGAATGATAAAAATCAGGTTAATTTCTCAAACTTCAAATGTTTAACACTTATTAAAAGTACTTTTAAATTCTGAATTTCATGTTAAATTCCAAACCTCAAATTAAAATAAAACTGTTGTTTAAATGGAAATAAAAGACACGTCCTTAATCTACTTTTGAAGGAAATATAGACTCTCTTTTATAAATGTGTATTCACATTTTCCTTGGTTTATATTATGAATGATTAAAACCAATATTAGCTCTGGTTTTATATATATCTGAAAATGGCAGGAATATACTGTGTAAGTTCAGAAAGGAGACTGAAGTTGATGTACAGAGAAGCGCCATCATTCATTTCCTTTTTGTTTCTTTGATATCATAAGAAATACAGCTCACAGCCTGTTTTGAAATGAGAGAGTAAGTGAATAGAGATAGTATTGCCAGATTGAGCAAATAAAATACAGGAAACTGAGTTAAATACCACTTTCAGAAAAAGAATAGCATTTTATGATAAGTATGTTCCAAATATTATATGGGACACATCCATACTTAAATAACTAGGCCAGGTACACTGACATCTGTAATCCCAACACTTTGGGAGGCTGAGGCAGCAAATCACTTGAGCCTAAGAGTTCAAGACTATCCTTGGCAACATGGAGAGACTCCATCTCTACAAAAAATACAAAAATTAGCTTGATGTGGTAATGCACATGTGTAGTTCCAGCTACTCAGGAGGCTGAGGTAGGAGGATTGATTGAACCCAGGAGGTTGAGCCATGACTGCACCAATTTACTTCAACCTGGGCAACAGAGAGATCCTGTCTCAACAAACAAATAAACAAAAACCAAAAAACTGCATGGGTCTTAGTCATTTAAAAAGTTATGTGGCATATACTTATGCTGAAAAGGATTCATGGGATATACCTGTACTAGAATAAACTTCTGAAAGATATCTGAAGTTTATATTTAAATTTTGTACTTTATCTCACCGTGCTAGGTGGAAGTCACAAGACCATCCTTAATAAAATGTGCATCTTTAAGTCCTCAGTTATCTTTCTCTTGGTATTTCATCACATACCTTCTCTTCCAAATACCAACAGTTTACAAAATTAAAAATAGTATTATTTTGTTATTATTTTTCTAGGTGGGTGGTATTTGTTTAAGTTGTACGTTTATTTATATAAAACGTGACATGAAAGCAGACTCTTTTTACTTGCTTCAAGAAACAATGAGCTTGTGTAACTTCTGAATGATAGGTAGCAGTGGCGTGAGGAGAGGAGAGAGTTAATGTCAGTAAGAACAATAGGATGAGGAAGCAGGATTGCAAAGCAAGTGGCTCCTGCTCCACCTGCTGGGCCTCCAGGCATCCAGGCTGTTCACTGGCTCCCAGAAGTCATGGTGATCTGTGACAGGCGGGCAGCTGGTGGCAGCCACCCAGAGCCATGTTGTCTTACAGCCTTCCTCATGGCAACACCAAGGAGATCTACCAAACTCCATGAATTTATTCCACAATAAATTCTGTCTAATATGGCAGCATGCCAGCTCAGTAGCACTTGTCTAGGCTATCCACTCTGGGATAAGACCCCTTCTTGATAAATGGTGCCTGTCCTTTCATGTTGGGAGAATAAGGTAGAATCACCAGTGCAAAGATGCTAAGGCATATCTAAGAATGGCTGCAAGATATAATAATCACTGTTCTCATCAAACTGTGAACCAAAGACCCATCTATGAGTATCTATTTCCTTTTCTGTTGGTATCTTTTCCTTTGAAAGAGATTTTGCTCAATTAGAGGAGACTGAAAAACAGAAATGAAGAACAAAGCAAAGAATCAAAGCTCTTAGGGACCAACAGGCTCAACTCCTTTTTCTGCAGTTGAGACAGCTTAGCTCTAGGGAGAGAAGGCGACTTGCCCCAAGTAAGAGGAACACTTGGTGTCAGCCCAGGCAGAGGCCAGATCTGGCTCCTGTCTCAGGGCTTTCTCCATGCTCCTACTGTGGCATTCAAGGGATTTACTCAATTGTAAGGAGTAAAGTGATTTCAAAGACTATTCTAGTATCCTTACACACTGTGCTTTTTAAAAACAGAAAATCTTTTTATAGGTACAAAGAGAAATGTATTTCCATTGCCTTTGTGAAGTTTAGGGATTAAGTAAAGAAGAAAACTTTCTTTAGCTTACATTTTAGTGCCAGAAGATGTATGAAAGATCACTAATACATGCCCAGTACATTTTCTGATACGAAATAAATCTCACACAAATGATTCTGGGTCTATAATAAGGTTATTTGGGGACTTGATTTCATAGTATCACCTCAATAACTAACTTTTTACAGTAAGGGTCTTTTCTTTCAGTTTGTCATACAGTCAGTTGCGCTCTACAGGGAACACTGTTTTCAAGACTGCTAAGCCATAAATAACCAAAAAGAAAAATGCCCCCTTGCTGTTTATGACCTTAGAGATAAGATCAAAGATCCTTCCATGGAAGTGGGTCAGTCCTCATAAAACCACTACTCACCATCTGTGGAGCAGCCACTGGTGCCGTCGCTAGAACAGTACCGCATTTCGATTCTCTGTCTTCCCACTTCCAACAAATTCGGATCGGGCAGGCGGGCTTTGCACGTGTATCGGAATCGCTGCTCATAGTGGCCACCATTGTCAGAGATGTTGACGGGCGTCCAGGGAGTCCAGGGTGTGGTCTTCTTCAGCTCAGGACACGGGCTGGTGTTACAAGGCTGGTACTCCTGGGGAGAACATGCAGGGGAGTGTTACCACAGGGGTAAACAAAGCAACCTCACAAAGGGCTCCTTTCCTTTAGGGAAAGGTAAGGGTCTCTGAAGCATCAGCTCCGACACTCACAGCTACTCTACAAAACTAAAAACACTTTTATGTTAAATTAGCATTCAACAGAATTCTCAGTGTTCAAATAATCTCCCAAAGGAATCCATACTGTCTCTCTGGTGCCAACAATGGGAATGAGACACAAACTTAATTGTTTGTGGGGAAAAAAAAACCCAGTGATTATTTTCTTCCCTCATTCCTTCCTATCTCCATTGTTAAGCACAATTATTGGCATGAAAGAGGTTTTTAATATCCATTTTTAGACTGCATTCTAGACTGGGCAATAGAGCAAGATTCCTGTTCTCTCTCCCTCTCTCTTCCTCTTTCTTTCTCTCTTTCATTCTTTTTTTCTTTTTTTCTCTTTCTTTTCTTCCCCCCAAAATAAAAATAAATAAAAATAAATCATCTCCCTTTCACTAAATGAATAGCTGAAAATATTGATTATTCTGATGTCAAGTTTAGCTATTTTCTTTAAAAGATTGAGTTGTAGAGCTCATAATATTCAGTTTGAGGTTAATGGATGTTTGAAGACCTGGGATCACAGATGCCATGTGTTAGAGTGGTAGGGGAGCCACGAGATAAAGTGATGCAAGAGACTTTTTTACGTGTAAGAAGCTTTCCCATCATCTCCCAGCTAACACCTTCAAGGCCCTTCTCAGGTTCTCCTGAGAGCACACTAAAATGTAAGTTCTGTTCCCTCTCTCCCAGGTACCTCCCTTGTAAGCATAGGTAGGAGGATCCTGGGTAGCTGAGCATGCAGTGACTTTGGAGGTCTGGCAGGTGGAGATGCTGAAAATCTGCCTAGAGCACTAACTGATTTATTGGACAAGCATTCTACATACAATTACTATGGACACAGAGCCCAATACTGGGACTGACCCTGGATGCAATGTGACATCATTTCTCCATTTTATAGCCACAGGTTTCACTGGAGGGAAGACCCACATACATAATACACCAGGTAATGGCCACAAGTTTAAAGATTTTTAACATTATGTTAATAAAATAAGAATTAAATCACTTTTTAAGCTTTATTGTAAAATAAGAAAATTGCTCTGTCATTTCTCCAGCTCTTTCAGTTGCATATTTTGATACTTATCTCCACAGAGCTAAACTTGAGTTGGGGTACTTTTGGTAAACCATTTGAATCTACGAATTCCTTTGGTTTTCTTGATTACTTCATCTCATTCTTCCCTCCGTTTTCTTGCTGCATCTCTTATCTTTCAGATATAAAACTATCTATCCATTTTTATATTTCTCATCTTTTATCTCATAGTTTTCATGTCTTCATCTTTTGCTCTAGTTTCTGGAAGATTCCTCAATCTTATCTTCCAAAATAATGATTGAAATTTTCATCTTATCTATTACATTTTAAAATTTCAAAAGGCCTTTTGTATCATTTTTTTTTTTTTTGGTTCTTGATTATTCCCTGATACTGTATGCTATTCTTATTATTATTATTTTTGTCACACTACTTTCTCCAATTTGAGTACATTGAGGATTTGAGTACACTGAGTACATTAATGAATTATTTTAAGGCTGTAGCCTCTCTCTGCAGCTTCTCTATCTTCTAAATTGCTGAATTCCCTTTGCTTGTTTGGATTTCTATCTTTCTTGTTAGATTGTTTCTTCTGTGGTCTGAACATTCTTTGTTTTCTGCCCTGATTTAGAGTGGAGGGCTAAAAAGTTTAACTGGAAGGTCTGAGCAAAGAGAAGTCTGTAGACCTGGTCAGATCTGGTTGGGAACTTTAGATGAAGTATGTTGTCAGAATCTTCAACCTTTCCTGCTGGACTCCTCAGAGACCCCTGAGAAGACTGCTCCAGTGCCTTGCCTGGATGCTGGAGGCTGAGCCATGGGGGATCTGAGAGCCAAGTGGAGGAAGAGGGTTGAACTCTCAGTGTCCAGTAGACAACCATTATCTTACTCTGCCTTTCTCAGTTCTGAAGCACCCAGTTAAATGAGCCCAGTGCTCAGAGGTCCAGAGACCCTCTATTTCCCTCTCCAGAAAATAAGCTTCCTGGTATCTGCTAGACAGAGCAGGTCTAGTCTCTTTGGTGGAGTGGGAGAGAGGTACGGAGGCCTGACAACTTCTTAAACAGAAATCATCCAATGTTATTTTGCCACTAACAGAGAAAATGGGGCTGCTGATTCCTGACTCTCTGAGGGGTCTCTGGTGTGCACTGAGATGATTATTTTCATGTATGTGTTGGGGGTACCCAAGATCACTCCAGTTTCTAAGATTAGATAGCAGGATCCATAGGACTCTGTATACAGCAGTGTTCTCAGCTATAATGTATTATAGTAAAAGAATACAAAGCAAAATCAGCAAAGGGAAAACGCTCATGGGATAGAAGTCCAGGCAAAGCTAGGCATAACCAAGAGTCAGTCCTCTTTCAGTGGAGTCGCAAAGGATGTGCTCAGGTTTCCCCAGCAGCTAGTTGTGATGATGTACAGGGAAGGAAGTCTACTAGGAAGCTCACTGGAGATAGTGCTCAGGGTTTTCACTGGGGTCTGGTCGCATAAGCATCTTTGCACTGCATGTACCCAAAGTCCAGATTCCCTAAGGAAGCTTTCAGTATATGTACAGACATTTTAAGCACAGAAAGCCACTCTCGCCATCTGGGAATGGTAGAAAACTTCCCGAAATCCAGATTCCCAGCTGCCAGCCAAGAGCTAGCCTTGCACGCAGGCCTTTCCAAGAGTCACAGGGCAGGGCAGCAGCCATATCTTCTGCATAGTTCCTCTCTGCTAGACTTGAATTCATGCTTCTTCTATGTGTTTACAGATTCTAATTTTTATAAACAATATGTTTCCTTCTCTTTTTTTTTCTGACTTTGTGCACTTATGCCTTTAAAAATCAATCCCTCCAACATTGTATTGATATGCTTCCAGTAGGACAGAAAGCAACTGTGTGTGTCCATGCCACCAACTTTACCTGGGAACCTAATACAATCTTTATTTCATTCTGTTTTAAATATTCTAACTAGCTTTCTTTACTCATAATGCATTTCTTTCTTTCTTTCTTTCTTTTTTCAGCAGATAACACTCAGGATTTTTGTGACATCATAGGCTTTTAACAGAAAATATGTAAACAGATCATTGCTGTTTCTTTGATTTAATACTCTCCAGGCATTCTTCCCGGACCACGCCATCTCCACATCAACAAATACTAGAAAGATAGATGACTTCATTTTCTTGTGTTTACAGCATCTTTTATTACAGCATCTTTTGAATGCTGCCTCTTAAATGAAAAAGCCCCAATGAATGCCATAAACCCAATCATGTGAAAAGCCAGGCACAACACATGTGTGATCTCTTTCACTTGGAATGAAAACCACATGACACAGACCTTCTGCGCCTATGGTATGGGGATGCTTTCACCCCTGGATTGAGAATGCCATGAACCACTGCCCTTCCCTCCCTACCTCAGAGCCAGCCTGGCCATGTAAGCATCCCGGAGCTCCTTGGTGAAATGTACTCAAAAACGTGCAGTTTGGCCATGTGCGGTGGCTCATGTCTGTCATCCCAGCACTTCGGGAGACCAACGCAGGTGGATCACCTGAGGTCAGGAGTTCGAAACCAGCCTGGCCAATCCCATTTCTACTAAAAATATAAAAATTAGCCAGGTGTGATGTCAGGTGCCTATAGTCCCAACTACTCTAGAGCCTGAGGCATAAGAATCACTAGAGCCTGGAAGGCAGAAGTTGCAGTGAGCCAACACTGCACCATTGCACTCCAGCCTGGGTGACAGTGAGACTCCGTCTCAAACAAACAAGCAAACAAACAAACAAATAACACGTGACGTTTATGGGCCTGTGTTTGAAAAGTGCTGATCTTTAGGTCTTAAAAAATGCAGCATTACTTATAAATTAGTAACATCCTACATGTTCATAAACAGATTTATAGGCCACCATCAGTAATTCTTAGGTTTCCCACACTGCAAGCTTCATCCCTTCTATGGAGATGAAGCTTAATTTTTGAAATGTAAGAGTGGCCAAATGTTCTTGGAAGTTGGCTTAAGTGTCTGTATTGGTATCTGTGTGTTGGTCCCAGAGGTAGGCGCAGCTCACGGCTAAGGAAGATCAGTATCTTTAGATCTAAGCTGCCAAAACAGTATGTTTTTAAGTTCTTATTTCCTCATGGTTCAAAGTTTAACATGAGACTGAGAACTTCTCCTTTACAGTGCTTTTTGACGTTTAATTATGATACATTCACTTGAAGTAAGGTGAGAAATGGTATGGCCGATTTGTTTTATCTTAATGAGCAAAATCATGAAGTGATTTAATTCTATTGTGATCACTTATATGGCTTAACTGAATAAGTATGCTAAAATTTACTAGAGAACTACTACTGTTAACTATCCAAATGCAAATGGAACTTTAACAACACTGCACTTAATACTAAAGAGATAAATGATTTTTAAAAGGATTTCAGGAAGCTATCTATTGTGATTTGGCACATAAGGTTCTTAACATTCTGGTGGAAAATGAGATAAGAATGCTTACTAAAGTAATTATAAATAACTTCACCAAATATGTTCCCCATGTATTATGTATTCCAGTCAACTGTGATGAAAGCATGCATTTAAACGTTTAATCCAGAAACCTGGGGGACACTCTGCCGGTTCTCCCTTACTTCTTTTCCATTTTTACTATACTTTTAAGTTCTGGGGTACATGTGCAGAACATGCAGGTTTGTTACATAGGTATATATGTGCCATGGTGGTTTGCTGCACCCATCAACCCGTCATCTACATTAGATATTTCTCCTAAATCTATCCCTCCCCTAGAACCCGACCCCCGACAGGCCCCAGAATGTGATATTCCCCTCCCTGTGTCCAAGTGTTCTCATTGTTCAACTCCCACTTATAAGTGAGTGCATGTGGTGTTTGGTTTTCTGTTC